AATCGTACCATGGTTGTAGAGGATTACGTTGAGGGAGTCCAGGCGTATTTTCGCCTAGAGAAGGATGGGAAAGTGGAAAAGGTCCTCCACTCCCCGACTCTCCTCGTAGAAGACAGCCTCCCATTTGATATTGTTCTGGGAATGGATTGGGGAGAGGCAGCCGGGGCCACGCTCCATTTGAAGGADCACGAGTGTAGGCTCCCTAGTTCGTCAGGCGAGGCTAAGATTGCCCGCCTGTTCCATGTGTCAGGGGTAGAGAATTCCTTGGCGCACTGCTGCCTTAGTGCCCCCGCGTTCGCCAGATTGGTGAAAAAGGAGAAACTAGAGGAACATGTTTTTGTTGCCTATGTCAGGCCAGTGACTGAGCCTAAGGAAGAGAAGCCCGTAGACCCTGCTATTGTCAAATTGCTGGAAGAGTTTAAGGATTTAACAAAGCCGCCGACAGGCACGGTGCCGCGGCCCATCCAGCACCGTATTGAGATAGAGCCTGGCAGTAGAACTCCTAAGGGTGCTGTATATAGGATATCCCCGCGGGAGTTGGAAGAGCTACGGAAGCAGTTGGACGAGCTTCTCGAAAAGGGTTGGATTAGGCCCAGTTCGTCTCCTTTCGGAGCCCCTGTTCTCTTTGTCCCTAAGAAAGAGGGAGAGCTGAGGATGTGTATAGACTATAGGGGTCTGAATGCTATTACAGTAAAGAATGCTGAGCGACTGCCTGGGATAGACGATCTCTTAGATCGAGTGCAGGGGGCGAAGTATTTTTCTAAGCTAGATTTGAAGTCCGGATATCATCAAATAGAGGTGCATCCTGATGATCAGTATAAGACAGCCTTCCGGACTAGATATGGGCACTACGAGTTTATAGTGATGCCCTTTGGACTAACCAATGCGCCAGCTACGTTCCAGCGCTGTATGAACGATTTGTTCAGGCCGTGGTTAGATAGATTTGTTATAGTGTACCTAGATGACATTCTAGTGTTTAGTAAGACCCTCGACGAGCATCAGGGTCATCTTAGGCAGGTCTTGGAAAAGCTGAGGGAAGCTAACTTCAAGATCAATGCAAAGAAGTGCGATTGGGCGAAGACCCAAGTTTTGTATTTAGGCCACGCCACGTACGCTGACAGAGTTGCGCTCGTTCCTGGGCTTAGTAAATTACTACAGGAAGTTCGTGAGGAACTTCTTCACCATCGCTGCGCCCCTTCGCAGATTGCTAAGAAAAGAGACAATCTGGAAGTGGGACAAGGACTGCACGTCTGCCATGAAGAAGCTAAAGCAGGCGTTGATAGAGTACCCGGTCCTTAAGGTCGCCGATCCGTCCTTGCCTTTTGTCGTTACTACGGATGCTAGCCAGTACGGCATAGGYGTAGTGTTACAGCAAGACGATGGCAATGGGTATAGACCCGTAGAGTTCATGTCCGCTAGAATGCCTTCAGAGAAGGTCGCGACATCTACCTATGAGAGGGAACTCTACGCTCTCAGGCAAGCGTTAGACCACTGGAAGCACTACTTGCTTGGGAGGCACTTCAAAGTCTATTCTGACCATGAAACGTTACGATGGTTAAAGACGCAGGCCAAGATGACACCTAAGCTTACTAGGTGGGCCGCCGAGATAGATCAGTACGACTTCRAGCTCAAGCYTGTCAAGGGGAAKWACAACGTAGTTGCGGATGCTCTGAGTAGGAGGGCAGACTACTTCGGGGCGATAGTGCATTACCTCGATATAGGGAAAGACCTGCAGCAAGAGGTTAGAGAAGC